GGCAGCGAATGTACATATGTGCTTGACACAATGGATGTATGTATGGATTGTGATGAGAATTGTACGAGCCCCCAATAAAATAATTGAAAAAAACCACAAAAAACAAAAAAACAGAAAAGTAGGTGAAGGGAGACAGCAGTCGGTGTTAAGGTATGAAAATAATAATAATTTATTATTTATCAAGGGGTCACAAGGGTGGAAGGGAGGGAAAAAAGGGGAGCTGATACCAATGGTTCCAACAGAATGTAAATGTTTAGAAAATGATGGCAACATATGTACAAATATGCTTGATATAATTGATGTATTGTTGTAAGAGCTATAAGAGCCCTCAATAAAATTATCTTAAAAACAACCAACAAAACAAAAAGAAATCGTGGAGCATGTTGGTCCCCCTTCAGCCCATTCACTGCCTGCATAGTGGGGCTAACACCACGGGCAGGAGGAACAGCACAATACAGAAGGCCTATACCCAGGTCTTAGCCCTGCCTGGGTGGTACAAACTGTTAGGTATTAGACTAGCAATGGAAAGGCTGGGGGTTCAAACCCACCCAGAGACTCCTTGAGAAACAGACCTGGCCATCTTTGAAAGGTCAGTTTTGAAAACCACATGGGATCAGTTCCCTTCGGTACACACAGGGTTGCCGTGAGTGAGGATGGAGCCCTGGTGTAATGGGTTACGCTGCTAGCCACAGTCTCCTGGGGAGAAAGATGAGGCTTTCTACTTCGTTCAAAGTTTCTTGTCTCTACCCCCTGTGAGTCCGAGAGGGCTCTGCGCTGTGAGTGGCGCTGGGCTTGATAGCAATGAGTAGTTCGAGCTGAGTAATAATAACCTGCTGGGCTTTTACTTTGGGCCCCTTCCCACTGGGGGCCCAGAGGGCTGCATTTTCCAGACAGTGAGTCAAGGGCTGGGAGACTTACCATTGTCAATGCCGCCCAAAGAGACCTACAGATTCAATGCCACCCCAAACACCTAACAGAAACAGAAAAGCCCAATCGCAACATTCTATGGAAAGGTAAGAGGCTCTGAGTAGCTAAAACTATGCTGAAAGAGGAGTGAAGCAGCAGGACTCACATTGTCCGATTGAAAGACGTGCTTTGATCAAACAGGCAGGACTGATACAACCACAGACACATCAAGTAGACAACGGGAGAGCACTGTGAGTCCTGCTCAATGCACCACACATCCCGGGTTAACGGTTTCTGACCAGGGTACTAAGTCTATTCAATGGGGAAAGAAGAGTTTCTTCAGTGAATGATGCTGGGAAACATTAAACAGAATCCTTGCCTCACACCAGACACAAAAACAAATCCAAAATAGAACAAGGCCTAACCATGCAAACTAAAACCAAAACATTCTTGGAAGACCCATCAGGAGGAATGCTGTCAGACCCAGTCTTCAACAACAGGTCATACAGTATACTAAAAGTATAAACAGTGATAGGCAAAGTAAATAAATAGGATCTCATAAAAATTTTAAACTTTTGTTCATCAAAAGACTTACTAAAAAAAGTGAAAAGACAAGCTATCTGAAGGGAGAATATCTTCAGAAACCTTATAACCAACAAGAATCTAATTACGAAACTATATATAAAACTTTAACAACAAAAACACAAATACCGTAATCTAACCATAAAGTGGGCAAAGGGCTCGAATGAATCTTTTACCAAGAAGAATACTGAATGGCCACCAAACACATACAACAATGGCCCAACATTACTATCTATCAGTCAAACACATGTTACAGCCTGGATGCATCCTACACGATCAATGGAACTTGAAGATATGCTGAAGAAAATTAATCAGTCATAAGGACAAATATTGTAGGCCTTCTTTTTATAAAAACAAACAAACAAAAAGAAACAAAAATACAAATGTACAAAGATCCAAGTGTATAGGTTATGGGGTAGGAGCGAGGGAGAAAAGGGTTCGTGGTGATGCAAACATCACAGTGATTAAGGGTAGGGTAGAATGTGACTGCTCTCAGTAAATTGTACAGCTATGAAAAGCTGAACTGGCAAAAACTGTGTGATAGCTAGATCTCCAACAGTCACACACATGTACACACACACACACACACACACACACACACACACACACAAAGAGTAGCCACACAACCAAAACCACTCATGGGCTCTGGTTAGAGTTCAGGGCCATGGGTTCATGAGACAGCCCAGTTAATCGGCCCATACACGTTAGTGCTTCTGCTGGACCTCCTAGTTCCAAGCAGCGCCCCCGGGTGTCTACCCAGCTGAGCACCGAGGGCGGAGCGTGAGCAGTAGGAAGAGCACAGGGAACGTGCGGCTCAGCCCCTTTATCAGGAAAGACAGGAGATCAGAAAACTGGGGGGTGCCTAGCGTCATTACTGGAATTCTTTTTTAATCATTTTATCGGGGGCTTCTACGCTTCTCACAATCCATACATACATCCATTTTGTCCAGCACATTCACACATTTGTTGCCATCATCATTCTCAAAACATTTGCTTTCTACTTAAGTCCTTGGTATCAGCAATTCATTTTCCCCCTCCCTCCCTTTTCCTCCTTCCCTCATGAACCCTTGATAATTTATAAATTATTATTATTTTGTTATATCTTATACTGCCCGACGTCTCCCTTCACCCATTTTTCAGTTGTTAGTCCCCCAGGGAAGAGGTTATATTTAGATCCTTGTAATCGGTTCCCCCTTTCTACCCCACCTTCAATCTGCCCTGCCAGTATCGCCACTCTCACCACTGGTCCTGAGGGTTTATCTGTCCTGGATTCCCTGTGTAGACCAGTGTACATCCTCTGGTCTATCCTGATTTGTAAGGTAGAACTGGGATCATGATAGTGTAGGGGGGAGGAAACATTTAGGAACTAGAGGAAAGTTGCATGCTTCGTCATTGCTACGCTGCACCCTGACTGGCTCATCTCCTCCCCGCGACCCTTATTACTGGAATTTTTGATCCACGATTCTACAGAACAACCTTGACCAAAGGGGAGGAAGGTGCAGGACAGAATTTTAAATTCTCATTGACTCGGCTTTCTGGTGCCATGGAAGGTGGATGAATCAAACTACTGCCTTGAGCTACTCTTTTAAATCTAAAATAAATTTTAAAATCCCTTCTGAAGTCTTCTTAAAACCAAGTCATACCCCTCCCTAGATGTATGTGCTACAGAGGACAACACTAAACCTACAGGTTGGGGAGAGGGGCCGGCATGTCATGCCCACGTGGAAGCAAAGCAAGAATGAAAAAGAGAAAGGGAAGGCTGGATCTCATACTGGCACACCAAACCCGGAGGACCACATCCCTGCACGGAGCTGCTAAGGCACAGAGTGGACGGTAGGGCCAGCAACAGCTCAAGAGCATACGGCGGCAGGGGACAATACTGGGGGCACACATGGGGAGTTAGTTCAGTCTGAACCCCCACAGCAGGCCGAACCAAGAAATAAATAGAACAGAACAGCAATGGGAGCAAAGAAAAGACACAAAGTCCCTGAAGAGTATCAAAAGTAGATGTCAGGCTAGGAGGACAGCTCCTGGAATTCCCCCAGGACCATTGGGTAGACAGTCACAAAGTTCAGCGGGCAGACCTGGAATTATGTCCCCCGCCTTTTTCAATCTGTTGTTTTCTTTTTGTTTGGTCTCTGTTATTATTGGTTTGCCGACTGATATAAGATAGGCA